CCAACCTGCCCACATCAATTGACTTTTGACTTGAAACACCAAATAGGATGAGGGCACATGCAAACCAAAGAGAGAAAGAGTCAATATAAAGATCCCTGAGTTAGGCAGAACTTAATCCTGGTGATTGCAAGTCAGCCATATGTCAGTCTGTGGCTGAATTTCAATGCATTACTTTTACAGAGAAAAAAATTCCAATTCACAGACCCCATCTGATTTCTTACTGGGAAGTGAATGGGGTGGTGGGTTATAGGGAAATAATGCAGGTCCAGGAGGCAGGTAGACCCTGGCTCTGGCCCCACAGCTCTGACCAGCCCACTTCATAGCTTTGTGCATCTGTTTTTCTCATCATTACAATGAAGACTGTTGGGAGAATCTGGGGCAAGGTCCATAAAGCCTGTAGCACATACTGGACATGCATCAAGTGGTAGATATTACTATGCCCTCTCCAGTTTTTCTTCCTATAGATTTCAAGAGGGAAAACTTAACTTACAACAGATGGCTACAAACTGGCTTTCCCTTAAAAAACCACAAACAGGTGAATTTCCAATAGCCAAGGAAAGATTCTGCCAGTGTGGGACTCATCAAATCAATCACAACTGCATTCAAAATCAACCACAATTGTATTCCACTGACATCTGATGGAAAACACAGAGAAAGCACAGTGACCTAGGAGGCTTCCTTGTTGGGCATCAGAGCAGGCTTTTCCTTTGCCTGTGAGCTTGCCCTTCTCAGCACTGCTCTTTGCATTTCCAAATTTTTCCATTCTCACTCACTCTGTCACTACACCACCCCCCATTGCTGGGGCCATTTATTATCTGAACGGAGTCAGCTGACCTGGGCAGGTTCCAAGCTATGCCTTAGGCACCAGACCAAACCCTAAACTCACTGTGCCTTTCCACTGGCTCTGTTGTTGAAAGAAATGCTATATCTTCTTGACTGTACAAGAAATCTATGGAGATTAAAATTAGTATGTGAAAGCAATTGAAAATATGCCCATCTGACGTAAGCATGGAGCCTCTAGGTGCACTAAATGAAACAGGTTATTAGATATAATTCGGGCATTGGCTAGAGGCTGAGGGAGAACAGATAGCAATTCTCTTCTAATCTGGAAGACTAAAAGAAGAAACAGCTTGAAAACCTTACCAGATGACATGACCTACAACCATTTTCTCCCCTTCCAAGTCATCCCAATATAAACACACAAAGCATAGAAGTTTCCCCCAGATACCCACAAAACGGCTCTGGGTGAAATGTAGAGGTGTAAAATGAATCTCTCATAGAGAAACAATAGAAATAGGTGGACTCAGGTGACCATGAACTGCAGGTCCAAAGCTTCATCAACCTCAGGCCCACACATAGTCCTGGCACACTGGGGAGACAGCTACTGCTATCACCACGGGGCATCCCAAGTGTAACAAAATCTTTTCCTTTAAGCAGAGAAGACAAAATATTACTAGAATCCCAAAGAACAAAATAAAAACTAAAATCAGGAACTAAATTATGGGGTTAACACAATGAAAAAGCAATATTCTGGCTGCCAACCCCTTCCACTTGGCTTGCAGAATTAGCATCTGGGCCTGATTTCAATAGCAGCTTTGTAGCCCAGACGGCCAGCACCACCATCCTACATCTAGCTCCCTGCTCCAGATAAAGTGGGTGCATGTGTGTGTGCGTGCGCAAGTGTGTGTGTATGTATGTGTGGGTGCTTGCAAGAATACATGCCAACATGCACCTCACCTTTAACCCAAAGCCCCTAGTATATGTATCATTTATAGATCCAACAACTAAAATTTCAAGCCATGAGTCCAGTGAAAATAGTCTTTGTTTCTACCTTCTCTGATTTTTCTTACAGATGCCCTATCCAGCTTTCCAAAACTTGTATCTGAAAGTGTAAAAGAATTTTTCTTATTTTCATTCACCAGCTGGAGAATCACTGAGCAGATTCTTGCCCGAAGACATTCTAAGAGATCCACTTTTCCCTAACACTCTCTTACATCAACTTCCTTACAGATGAACCACAGCTACAGTTCTCTCCTCTCCCATTCAGCCTCTTCCTCCCCTCCCCTTCTCTCCCCCTCCCTCCCCCCCCCCCCCCCCCCTCCCTCCCTTCCTCCCCCTCCCCCCAGATTTGGACACCTACAGCAGTAAGCCACATTGGGTGAGAGGATGCATGAAATGCCCATGACCTGGGCAGTAAGTGACTTATGAATGGAAACTGAGGGCATGGGTGGGAGACTTGAGGGAGAGACTAAGCAGAGAGAGAGAAAGTATAGACAAATCTTCCCACCTAGCAATTTCTGTGATATGCTCAGATTTTGGTAAAGAAGCAGTATCCCCTTTTCTACTTTTGGAAACACAGGCTAAGGGAGGGCAAAAGTCTGGCTGGACCAATATTAAGTAGGAAAATACAGCAGATTTGCCTCAGAAGAGTAAGGAAAACCATAGTCTAAAGTTAGGAGATACAATTATGGTCCCTCCAGCACATGAGGTACCTGTGGGCCTCATCTCTCCTGAACCTGACTTCCAAAAACACCACACAGGACCACCAGGTGCTTTCTGACCGTCATGGTCCTAATGCTAAACTTTGAGGCCCAGTGAACTTCAGTAACATTTATTCACTTGTCTTCTACTTTTAAAAGTTGTGCCATATAACTTTATCTCATCTAAGTACTATCCTATTATGTTTTACTGAATGAAAAGTGCCATTAGGATTGGGAGAGATAAAAGAGAGACAAGTTTACAGAAAAAAACAACTGCCCCCCTCCCACCAAAATACCAATGAAAGTTAACAGTGCTCACACACAGCATGCCTCTCTCCTTCTTCCTCCTAGATCCCTACCTAAGTAATGATGGGATCTTAAGGAGCAGAGGTTCAGGCAGTGTAGCCTACTAGAAAGAAACTAGACAGAGTCATGTGTTTATTGGTTAATTAACATTTCCAAAGTACTTTGCCATCCTTGGTGTGTATCCTACATATAATCATTAATTTATAAATTAGAATTAAATCAAACAAGATTATAGTAAAATACCTGCACAAAGTGTCACAACATTAGTTATAATACATACTTTCCACATCAGCCTTAGTCTGAAAGTCATTACACATATCCACTCCATACATACAAACCCACAAAACCATTCTTACTGTCTATGACTGACAAAGTATTATGGAAGGCCCTAGCTCTTGGGTGCCTTTATAAATTGATTGATGCCAATTATAAAATGATCAACACAAATAATTGACAAATACCAATAACTGATCAATTATCAATATTATCAGCTCTGTGATTAGCATAGGATTTTCTTTTCCTGTTCCTAGGCTTATCATCAGAGAGCTACCACTACTGAATCAGACCCATTAATGATCTCTTTCCATTTCTTCAGTTACTTTTAAATACTTGCCAGTACTTTTAAATACTTACTTTTAAATACTTATACTCCCATCTATTTACCTGGTGATGGGGTAAGGCATAAGGAATACAATTTGTTACAAAGAACCTAATTTTGACTAGAATTAAAGGTTGCTTTGGTCCAAAAGTCCAATATTTTTCATACTGTTGGTATCTGGAAATCCCAATCATATTTGAATCAAGCAGCACATGTGATAAGCTTTAAAAAAGGTAGAAAATACCAATATGCACAATGTAGAAGGGATCGGCACTATTTCATGAAATTTTGATTTCCATTGGGTACACTGTCTATGATGGGAGTGTATTGGCTGCGAAATGTTTCATATGGTGGGTCAAATCAAAAATGTGAAAGCCACTGGAATGGGGCAAAAGAATTAACAGGATTCAGAAAGGCATGAGTTCAACTCCCCACAAAACTTGTCACCAAAAGAGGGACTTACTCCTGGGTGAATCCCACATTCTGCAGGTGACTTGCCAGCTCCGAATCCTTTACCAAAGTTAAGTTACCCTGCCTGGAAGCCATCATCTTCTATCAAATCCCCTCCTCCAGATCAGAACGTTTTCCCTCCATCCCTCCCCACACCACCCCTACCCACAAGCCTGGAAGGAACGCCCCAGAAAGCAGCAAATACTTTCCCTTCCAGACAGGCACTCCAAGCTCCAGCAATCCCAGGAGAGATGGACAGGGCTACATGCCTGGGTGCTCTTAGGCCCTAGATTAAGCAAGACTCCCGCCTTAAACAAATCCTTCCCCCAGTTCTGAGCAACAGAACAGCTATCGGGTTTAGACGCCCCTTTCAGACCATTAGGTCTCTCAGAGACCTCTCTATGCTTTCACTTCTTATCCCCCATAGAATCTCTCGCTCTTAGAAAGCACCGGCCCTTACTGGGTAGTTAGCTTAAAATCATGTGGGACAAACTTTTAATTCTCCAAACATCCCAGAAAGCCTATCCGGGAAGCCTTCTCCTTCAATTGGACTTTCATGGATTCTCTCAGCCCCATCCCTGAATGTTCTTGGTAATAATTCCTCAAAATAACGCCGTCAGGGAAAGTGAAGTTGGCTGCTAGGAAGTTACGGTGGTGGGGCTACCGGCAGAGAGGGCGGGCACCCTGGGACCGGGAAGCTTGGACCTGCAGCTGGAGGAGGCGTTCACCTGGGAGCTCCTCTCTACGTGAAAAATCTTCCAGCCAAGAAAGAAAACAAAAGCCAACGTGCCTGGGGCCACCGACCGATCCGCCACCACTGGAGCAGCGCAAACAGGACTGTGGGGACGGGCACGGGCTGGGGGAGCTGAGAGCTGCGGCGGGACCACAGGAGACGAGGGCCGGAGGGGCTGGGAACAAAGCCCCGGGGTCCGCTCCGAAGGGGGCGCGCGGGACCTCCCGAGGCGCTGGTCTCTGCGGCGGGGGCTGGCGGCAAGCTGCCCCCTCCACGCGCTCCGCGTAGCCCCAGAGCCGAAGGACAGGGGTCGACGGCGAAAGAAGGCAGGTGTGCAGGTGCGAGTGCGCGCGCAGCGGCTGCCCCTGCGCCCCCCAAAACCTGGGGGCGGTCTGACCCTCTCCCCGCCCCTCGGTCCCGGAGCCGCTCTCACCCGAGCGAGGATCGAAGGTGACCACAAACACGGCCACCACCTGGTCCTCCTCCACGTCGCCCAGCTCCAGGCGCCCGGGCTGCAGCAGCACCTCGGAGGGAGCCGGCTCCTCGGGCTCCCGCCTCCGGGGCGGCTCCGCGGCCGGCCGCGCGCCCCCGCCGCAGCCCCGGGCCCGGCCTCCCGCCTGCAGCTCCGGGGCCTGCGGCAGCGAGACGGCGGGGCCCTCGGCCCAGCGCAGCAGCGGCGCCGCGTCTCCCTGCTCCACCATGGCGAAGCGAGGAGGAGCCGCGGGCGCGAGGGGCGGGGCGGGCTCGGGCACTCCCCTCGCCGCGCCCCCGCCCGCGCCCGCCGGGCTCGCGCTGCCCGGGCCCCGTCGGCCCCCGGCGCCCGCCCCGCGCCCACTGCCCTCGAGCCCAGGCGCCCTTCTCTGGGAGCCCGACGAGGCGTGGCGGAGCAGGCTCCGGCGCCCCGCGGCCGGGCTGGAGGCTTCGTGTGTGCATTTACGTATGTGGGTGCTCGTCACAGGGAGAGTGGTGCAGGACGCGCATCCCTGGGTCTGTCCACCTGCGCGTGGGTGAAGCGCTTTCCCACTAGGATTCCGTGGTATAAATGTACCACTCTGAATTTTTTTATACGTCACCTTTATTTTTAAAATCCCATGGTCCTAAAGACCATGACACACGTATTATATAATACTGAACGTGTGGCAAAATGTGCTTCTAAGCTGGGAAGGAAAGCAGAGGAACCCTGGCTACTCAGGTGTTATGAATATACACAAATGAAGCCTGAAGGGGGTTATGGGGTTGGCATTTGGAAATTTTATTCTGTTTCTGTAGCAAACCAATTAAGATGCAAATTGTTTATTTCCTGATGTATCTACAACTCCAGGGTATTAAACTAGGGGGCGCTGAGGCACTTTGGGAGGTATTCCCACAAAAGATCAGGAACACCCTAAATTGTATGGTCTTGGAAACTAACGATTTTCTATGGAACCCCCTTTTGAAATTTTAAAAATAAAAATGTGAATACCTCAACCCTTGGGGGTCAATGTGGTAGCTATGTAACTTTCAGTGGAAGTATAAACACGAAATAAGATTAGCCATGAAAATGAGAAAAAATGAGGTGGCAAGAGAGAATTGCTCAGATACACAATTCATCCAAGGTTCAGGCAGGCCCCACCGCACCTGTTTTCAGAAGGACTCAGTGAATTTATGGGTTAGGTGTTGCTCCAGGCCAGTTATGAATATCCATGTCCTACATGACCAAGGTGCAATAATATGATTTAATCCTGTCCCCAAGAAGATAATCAGTGACCACCTAAGCCTACTGCTTTGGTCCAAAATCTATGATTTAACCATGAAGCATTTTAYCCTAAAAAGTAAGGATTGCTCCCATCATTTCTATATTTAGTTCAACCTGACTCCCATGGCCAAGGGCAAGTAAGTGACCATCTATCACTCTCTCCATGGAGCATATAGATAGCAACTGCAATGGAGGGGGAGCTCCAGTACAGTCCAGTCAAGGCCAGGGTGAGGGCAGCCAAGGCCATTTGGCTCATTCAAGGGCCCACCACTCTGGGTTTTACACAAATTCTCCAGGCCAGACACTGAGGAAGTTGCTACTTCAGAAGACCAGACCATACAGTCAACGCTTCTGAAATTTTTATTTTTAAATATAAAAAAGGGATTCATAGAAGACCCTTAATTTCTAAAGTCATCAGCTTTAAGGCAAATGGACTTTCTCTTTGTCCCCTGAAGGACTTCTTTTCCTGATCTTTTGGGGGTGATATCTGCACCCTAAAAGCCTCAACACCTCCTAATTTAACACCCTCAGGCTGTACATATACCAGGAAATGAATGTATAGTATCCATCCCAATCAGAAAAGCAAAATTTCCAATCCACACCCCAAACCCATTTTCAGTCTTCATTTAAGTATAAGTATATTCTAGCTCACCAACCACTATGTCYATCTTTATATTCCTAGTACCTAGTAGGCACTCAAAAAATATTTGTCAACAAAGTAAATGAATGAAAGTAGAGAATTATACCCCTATACAATAGAACCTCTTGCCATGTTTTATCTAGTATCTTGCATTAGTAACAGATGCTCAAAAATGTTAGTGATATGGCGACATCCTCTCTTAGCACACACATTCACAGTCTGAAAGAGGCTTTCTACCTGATCATCAGGTGTATCTTCTGTTTCTACTGAATTTCATCAGGTGATCAGAAGGGAACTAATTGAATTTAGCTATTAGAACAGCTGTGCTGGGCAACAAGCCTGGAAGACCAGAAGAGGAGGAGCAAGAATCATACAGAGGTCCTAGGTTAATATAATATTTCAAAATGCATTCACCTAGAATACTGCTTGTCTAAATTTTAAAATAAATTCATTTTACTTTCCTAAAAACAAAACAGTAGGGCAAATGCATCAGCCTTTCAGGCTGGGGACTTATAATTGAGAGGTGGCAATGCCAGGTTAAAATGCATTCGCATTTTTCAGGTTCTTGATAATTTTATGTTCATGTTTTGTGATTTAATCTAATTATGCTTTCAAAATATATGTTGGTCATTTGTGATTCCTCTCCAGTGAACTCTGTCCATTTTGTTTCTTAACCTACTCAACACTTACGTTGGTAAAAGAGTAGACAACCTTTTCATTAAATTGTTATTCAATAATTGCTACACCACAAATRGCATTGTCCTTTCAATTCCTGTGACTTATAATTCACCTTTAAAGTATAATGTTAAATTACTATGTTTGCCAATCTGTGTATCCTTAGTCACTACTCTGTCTGTACTTGCACTAATACCACAGTAATTTAACCATTAAACATATATTTAAAATTTTATTTCTAGGAAAGGTAGTCTTATTTCTTTATGCTTCTTTAAAAAAAAAAAACTCCAGCCATTCTTTATTAATTTTTCATGTGAACTTTACAATCATTTCTTCCAGTTTCAAGAAAAAGTGAGACTTTTCATTTAAACTGCATGAGCAAGACATATTTCCTGGAGAAGAAACAATATCTTTAAATCAAGTCATTTCTTTTGCAGGAAGAGTCTTCCGTCCACGTAAGGCATATGTAGCCCTATATTGTGACCAGTCTGCATAATTAGTGAACCAGCGCAAATACTGGTGATCTAGACTGGAGTGCAGATTATGGGAAAAGAGGAGTTGCAACAAAGGATGAAAGTAGTAAGAATGTGAATGGGAAAGAGGAAAGTAATCTTCCAATATGGAACATCTATATCCTTATCTGTCATGTGAACTAAAGTTCCACAGCCAAATGGATTCTGAGAGGACCTAAAGCCCAGGTTATCCAGCCTCCAGATAACCTCCATCCTCCCAGCTGCCTACCATCTATTTTATACATTGTATCTATTTTACTAGCTACAATGTTTCAGCTTTGTATGCACAATGTTTCCTTCACCTCCCAGGTCATCTGTGCTGCAGGCCATGATGGGATAGCCCAAGTTTAAGGTGCAGTAAATCACATGCCACTGATGCTGTGTTCAAGTTGGGCTAGGAATAGTAGAGGCATTAACATGTTCAAAGTTACTAAATTATTTAAAATCAACATATCTTTTCCTTTTAGTCCTAGTTTTTACATTTGCATTGGGGTTGAAAATTAAACATTTTGAAACCTCATTAAAGGTACCCATTCTTTAACAGTGTCCATCATAGGGATAAATGGAATGCAAATATGCTTGACTATTCTGCAAATACTGAATGAATGCCTACTGTGTTCCATGTTCTGCTCTAGGTAATGGAAATAAAGCYGCAAACAAGAGTTGAGCACTGCCGTCATGAAATTTAGGTTCTGTTGGGGATGGCGTGGGGAAGGATGATTTTTTAAATGAACCATGAAATATGTAATATATGATGTAGTGATAAGTTTTATGCAGGAATGTGACACAGAGCAAGGGGCCAGAGAATGGATTGCAAAGCATAGTTTTAGGAAAGACATCTCTGGGAAGTGACCTTTGAGCCCAGGGACAAGTGATACCTGTGAAGAAAGACAAGTCAGAAAGAGCAAGTCAGCCAGAGAAAAGGTCCTGGGACAAACAAGATGTTGGCAGCTGTAGGAACAGCAAGGAGAGGAGAGGCGAATGTGTGCAGGGGGAGATGCTGGCAGAAGTTGAACAGGTTGGGGTGGGTTCTATCGCCCTGCGGRACTCGATGCAGGGTTAGCTCTGTAATTCTGAGTGAAATTGGAAGCAGTGGAGGATTTGAGTACAAGAATATCATGATCTCACTTACTATTCAGAAGGAGTCCATTAGCTACTAGATGTAGAATAGAATGTTGTGAGGTTAGGGTGAATACAGTGGACCCCTGCTGGAGGTTTTTGCCTCTAGGGAAGAGGTAAGGATAGAATTGAAAAGATTTCTCCCAGGTTTGAAGCCAGATTTAAAGATAGGTAGTTAGTGTAGTTAGGTAAATCGGGTCTAATGTTGAATAAGATAAATAAAATGGAGGCCATTATAGAGAATGGAGTCCAGGAAACCAGAGCAGCACTTGGGGAAATTGAAATGTTAATGTCCCCAAGGCCCTGGGAACCCATTCTAAGGAACTGTTAAAGAAACAGCTCCCAGCAAACAGAGAAATGCTGATCAGAAGCTGCCCCAGGCCCTTCTTGCCCAGATTACTCTTTCAGCCCACCTATCTCCCACCTTTTGGACCTTCCCACCTGCATTCTATCACTGCAAGGTAACCGAGAACAAAGGACAGGAATGTGGGAAAGCTGAAAGAAGACCTTGGCTATAAAAAAGGGAAGACCTCGCCCTTCCTCGGATTTGCCTTTTGGGTCCCCTTCTTCCTGGGGAGAAGTCTTTTCTGCTGTCCTTTAATAAAGCTTCTACTTTCCACTCTAAACTTGCCTCCGAGTGCTTCCCTGGTGTTGTACTTCAGCATTCGGGGAAGCAAGGACTCCTCACCGGTAAAGAGCAGTAACAGGTTGAATGTAGGGTTGGTGGGGAGGGGAGGTACTCACCTATTGCCATTTACTGATATATGAAAAAAGTGCAGAAGGAGTAGGTTTCACTGGGATGTTTGGACATGTTAAGACTGAGGTGCCTATTAGACATGCAAAGGGAGATGTGATAAGGCAGCTAAAATTTGAAGTTCAAGAAAAAAGTCCGAGACACAGATATAGATTCAGAAGCTACCTGTTATATATAGCATTTCCAGGTGGGGTGAATGATGCTCCAATAAAGTGAGTAAACCCAGGAAAAAGTCTGTGGAACTGAGTCCAGAGCCTCCAGAGTTT